CGGAATCCATCGAGAACTCAGGAGGCGTTCTGAGAGTGGGTGCTGCCTTTAATCCCCTACTCACGTCTTATAAGTTTCCCAACAAAAAAACCCTTAAAGCTATAGCTGCCCTACTATTTGTTTTATGATCTTTTATGCTTTTTTCATAGAAGATTTGTGCAAAAAATACTGCTTTAATTTTATAACAGATCCTTTGCTTTGGCAGGCGTCCAACTCCAGCTAACTGGCAGAAACGGTAGCAAGCCCATCTTTCAAAAAATCAACATGAATTTAAAATTACTGGGTAAGATGCACTAATCCAAATTTCTTGTTCCAAGAACAAAAGAAGAGGCGAGGACGGCTAGATAAGAGGTCTGGTCACGAAATTAATTTTATATTTATCTTAAAATACAAATTTCACATTTTTGCTGCATCTAAGTGAACTAACTGTAAGAAAATGAGAACGAAGAGTAAAAATAAGGCTATTCTGAGCATTTATTTGTACTTTCGTGAGTGGAATGTCTCGTAATCTTACAAGTACAGAAGGCACTCCACCCTTGAGTTACGTAGTTAAATCAACAGCAGAGGTTATGGAAACAGAACAGTGAAGTGTTAACAACGTGTAGTACTCCAGCCTATGACTCGTAGGGGTGGGCGGAGCTTCATTAGGCTCGTCTTGCTCGGAAACTAACAAAGGGAATGCCCCTTAGTCAACTTTTTGCTAACATCTTCGGAGATAGTGGTGGTTTGGTCGTGCGGCGCGCGTGCGCTACGTATTGTTCTCGGCAGAGTGTACAGAACGTATGTGGTGCATTGACAAAGTTACTGTAGTCTCGAGACAAGTATAGACACAAAACATGCGGCCGTAATATGCGATGCGCAGATGCATGGAATCGAGCAGTTCAGAAACATAATCAGGTAGCTGTCGTCACACACGTCCGCCACGCATACGCCCGCCACAGTTTTTGTGTCTACACCTGGATTAAGGCTGCCGAAAGGATGCTGTGATTAAGCGAAATTTACTACAGCAATCCCAAAAATCCATTAAAAAGTAGTCCACTTCAAAGGAATTTACAACCCATATATTGCCGCTAAGGGGGGGGGGGCGGAAGTGGATAAAGTTCCAGAGTGTCCTGCCATTTTCCACTTGCACGTTCCAAC